GCGCACACACACACACACACACACACAATGTATTTTATTTCATACACACACGTATTATACAAAACGATCATACTTGTTCACATATTTTTTTAAAATAATATTAAAGTATGGTGCTGTTGAGAGACAGGGGGACTCGGCAGTTTTGTTTGTTTGTTTTTGTGGGGGTTTTTAGTAGAGGTTTTGGCAGTTTGTAATTAAAACCGGCCGTGGTTAAATTTAGTACAGGTATCGTTGCTGGCCGCCTGCTGGCGTTGTAAAGTTGATTGCCATTTTATCGGGTACACCTCGTCCGTGGAGATGGTGTTCCCGCATACATAACGTACAAGCGTATAAAATCATGTTTTCCTAGTCGTAAAACAAGCCAGAACTCTAGACAAACGCACGGTAAGATATCTACAAACTCAAACCAAACTATACGCTGTATACGAGAATGTAGTAGCGCAGAGATAAATAAACATCTAGACAGTTTCCGTTTTTGTAAGTTTCACGGCGCTCGCAACTGCATAACTTCATATTATTAGTGCCAGAAGATTAGAGGCGTTACAAAAGAGTAACAAACATAAAAAAGAAGGGGAGATAAAGAGGATAGACATTTGATAGGAAAGAAGAGGCAAACCACACCAGAGGACCCGCCAACCACCCACGCATCTAGACAGACATGTTATTTTTTTTTAGTAAGAGTTTTACGGTACTTGCAACACAATTAGGTCATAATATAAGTGACAAGGATTTAGGTGCTACAAGAGAGTAACAAAACACAAAGAGGAGGAGGAGAGATAAGGACAATTGATGTTTGATAGCTAGGAAAGAAGGAGCAAACCACACAAGAGCACCCACCAACGACCCACACATAGACAGACAGATGGGCAGGCAAACAAACATTTTATTATATTGTAAATAAAACACAGATTGCAAACCGAACAGCGATTGCTATTGAGCAGTAATTGCGCTATACAAATGCTGTTTGTTATTATTATTATTATTATTATTATATTACTATTATTATTATATTAATATTACTATTATTATTATTAGTTTCAATTTTATAATTAGTGTAAATAATTTTATTTTTTAAAATATATATACATATATATAATGTTAAGCGAAAAGAGGGGTGTTGGAGTGAATTTCAGTCTTCCAGTGAACCAGCCAGCACGACAGTAGCCACATTTTGCCATCAACAGTAGATAAGTACAACAGACGCATGGCCCTGAAACAATGAATGTAGTCTACTATTCAAGCAAGGAAGCCTTGAAGGAGCGCAAAAATGTCGTTGCTCGTGTACGAGAGCGTGCCAGTGTGAATGTACGTGTGTGTGTGTGTGTGAGGGGGGGGGGTATA